GAAAGGCGCAAAGCTACACAGAGAAACCCTGTCTCGAAAAACCAAAAAAAAAAAAAAAAAAAAAAAGAATCTTTTCCTGAATCGAAAGCCATTTTTACTCTTTTCCTGAAATCCATTGAACCTCTAATATATCAGAATTCTGGTTGCAGGTTATAGAAACAAGCTCATCAACTTAAGTACAAAAGAGAAATGTGTTAACATGATACAGGAATCTGCATCTTGTAGAGCCTAAAGGCAAAACTTGAACAGTCCATTAAAACTAAACAAAACAAAAAACAACTCTGAGGCCTCAGAAATCACTCAATGCCATCTCCCCGCCTCCGCTTCTGCTCTTCTGCATGGCTGCCTCATTTGCTCTCATTTCAGTGACCATGGCCACTCACTGTTGCAGGACATTTGGTCACACTGTGAACCCTGAGATTTCATTGTTTACTGGAGGAACCTGCTGCTAGCTGTGGTGTGGCTCAGCCCTAGCACATGCCTATAATCTAAGAGCTTTCTGTTTAAATATTGTAAACAGGATTAAATAAAGTCTTCCATAGGTCAAGAGGTGGAGCAAGCAACTAGTTAACAGGAAAAAGCCATAGAGAATGGAAGGAAGTCAGGAGGTTAGGTGATGGACACACACACCACGGCCGCACAGGAAGTAGAAGGGAGGGACATCCAGTTGGGAGAGTTTTTGTGAAAGATGTCCTTGGAGAAAACTCTATTTCTGAGATGGTGGAGGAGGAGGAGGAAGCAGCTGGGTGCTCTCTCTGCCTCTCTGAGCTAGCAGGTTTTCACCCCAGCATCTTTATTGATAAATATTGATAACGTAGAATGATAGAGATGTAAAACAACAACTCAGGAGTTTGCATTTGTGTACTACTGGTTCAGTCACTCAGAATGAACTTTAAGACATGGATCAACATTGTGGCTACATGGGAGTAGACTCACCAAGCAGAAAGGTGTTGACTGAAAGCCTCACCCCATGTTAGGCTGAGGAGACAACCAGTGATGGCCATTGATAGCAAGGTGATGTGGGGGTGAGTCTCTTCAAGCTCTGCTGCCAGGAGAGAAACAAGCCCAAGAGGCAAGAAGGGCGTGGTTAGCTGGGCAGGTTCAAGGAGTCTGACACCAAGCAGTTCATTTTTGACATATTTAAGCACAGTACAACGTTGGAAAGAAGTTGCCGTGTGACAGTTATCACAACAAAACTTAAGGCATGATCATATCACTCCTTTGCAAAGTACGTGTGAGCTCTTGCACAAGAATGTGTTCTGTTCACTGACAGTGCTCAGGATAAGGGTCTAGAGAGGAGGGGTTTGTAATAAGCATAATAGTAACTCTCTTGCAAAGTAAATGGAACCTCTTTCATAAGAATGGGTTCAGCTCATGGTGGTGGTATACACCTTTAATCCCAGCACTTGAGTGGCAGAGGCAGGCCACTCTGTGAGTTCAAGGCCAGCCTGATCTGCTGATCGAGTTCCGGGACAGCTAGGGCTACACAAAGAAACCCTATCTTGGACCTCACCCCTTCCAAAAAAACAAAAGAGAATGGGTTCTATTGACTGAGAAACCATGCTTGGGAGTCTGGAAGATTCTGGTGAAGCCTGACTCTACATAATAGTAAAAGACACTAGGTTATAAACAACATCCACTCCTCCCTTGCACATTCATTGAAGAGAAAAGCCTGTGTGTATAACAGTCCTGGTTTCTCAAATGCTATTCTGTGAGTACATGTGCCACCTATAAGATGTGATGTGATATTTTTCTTTTGTTTTTCTTAAACTGGGGTAGGGTAGGAAGTGGATTTATACCAGTTGGAGAAAACCTAGAAAAAGAAAAGGGGAAAAACAAAGCAGCCTTATCCATATTCTTACCTCCCAGGGATTACACTCTTGAATAAAGCATTTTTTCTTCTATTTTTATTATTATTGGGGGAGGGGGAACTAAAGAGAGACCCCAGGGCTTCCCACATGCTAGCTATGTACTCTGCCACTAAGTTATTGCCCTGGCCCTGTTGTCTCTGTGTTTTTATTATTATTTGACAAGTTCATGTGTTTATATTGTGTATTGTGATCCACTGCCCTGTTGCCTGCTCTTCCCCTCTCCCGTTTCTGCTGACCCTCTTCCCAAGCAGCCCCTCCCTCCACTGTCACATCCTGGGGTGGGAGGGGAATCCACTGGCACTTGGGCACCTTCAGCGACTGTACTAATGAAGAAACTGACTTTCCCTCCTCTGGCCATCATTAACTGCCAGTAGCAATTCAGGGAAGGAGGGAGCCTTATGAGCCCCTCCTCCATCCATGATGGAGTGTTGAAGGGTCCAGTCTTGCCCAGGTAACCACAGCCGCTGTGTGTTCAGGATTGTTACAGCGTGGCATATCCAGAAAATAATGCTGCATAGCACTCTTCCCATCCTCCAGCTCCTGATTCTTTCCTGTCCTTCTGTGGTGTTCTCTGAGCCTTGGAAGGGGATGATGATCATCTCATTTAGGGGACTGCACTTAGTAGTCACTTTTTCCCAGCACGTTAACCAGATACAAATCTGTGTGTTAACCACCACCCACTGCAAGATGCTTCCTTGATCAAGGCCAAGAGCAGCTCTTTGTTATTAGGCAGTTTGACCTCATGTCCATTTATATGTTGTTTTGTTTTTTTTGAAACAGAGCCTCACTCTAGCCCTGGCTCCCTATGAGCCTTCTGCCTCTGCCTCCTGAGTGCTGGGGCACCTCCACTGCCTGGCTGAACTTTTTAACTTATAAGTAACATGAGCATCATGTAGCTTAGTATTTAAGCTTATCTATTGTTAGTTCCCAATGATAAATTTTAAAATAATTGCTGCTTTTATTTTTTTTTTTTTTTTGGTTTTTCGAGACAGGGTTTCTCTGTGTAGCTTTGCGCCTTTCCTGGAACTCACTTGGTAGTCCAGGCTGGCCTCGAACTCACAGAGATCCGCCTGGCTCTGCCTCCCGAGTGCTGGGATTAAAGGCGTGCGCCACCACCGCCCGGCAATTGCTGCTTTTAAAAAGTAAACATTTTGAGTCTTGGTCACTACATCTGTTTCCTTATAAAAGCCGCCTGCCTGGTGCAGCCACCAGCCGAAGGCCCTGGCACACAGACTCAGTACTATGTCCTCGCCAGGTTTAGAAAATAAGTAGATTAGATTGTCTGTAGGGGTGGATCCAATGTTAACTACGAAAAACTGATAAACTCGCTTATCTTCTAGTCTGGCTGAAACCAGAGGGTCACAACCTTAAGGCCTCAAGGCCAGCCTAAGCAACAATAGTGAGACCCTGTCTTAAAAAAACTAATAAGTGGCGCACGCCTTTAATCTCAGCACTCGGGAGACAGAGGCAGGCGGATCTCTATGAGTTCGAGGCCAGCCTGGTCTCCAAAGCGAGTTCCAGGAAAGGCGCAAAGCTACACAGAGAAACCCTGTCTTGAAAAAAAAAAAAAAAAAAAAACTAATAAGGCTGAACATTTAGGTCAGTGGCCAAATGCTTGTCCAGCATGGACAGGGCCTGGGTTCAAAGCCAGTACCACACAAAGAGAAGAGAGGAGAGCCAGCAGGCAGGTTAGTGTGTTAAGGCCGCCTGCTCAGCCTTGTTCTGTCAGGTCGCTACAGGAAGTTGGTAGAGCTGGTAGCTTGAGAAACTCTCACCCAACATAAATTTTCTTGCCCAAAACTAGCAGTGTTCAAGTCAATATTGCTAAGACAGTAACTTGAGTGGGTGCAGCAAATACTTCTGTGATTATGATTTATTCTTTTACTTATTCTGGGGCTGGCCAATACTGTCTTTCTTTAGATAACACAGTGAATTGATGATGTCATATATACATTTTTTTTCTTTTTTTTTTCTTTTTGGTTTTTTCGAGACAGGGTTTCTCCGTGTAGTTTTGGTGCCTGTCCTGGATCTTGCTCTGTAGACCAGGCTGCCTCTGCCTCCCGAGTGCTGGGATCAAAGGCGAGTGCCACTGCCACCCGGCTGATGATGTCATATCTTACAGACCCAAGAACTGTTCTGCCCTGTAAGGTTTAAGTCTCATACCTCCATTTTAACCAGTGCATCATGCATGGGTGTTGCAATGGTTTAACTTACGGATATTTTTAAATTTTGTTTTATCTCATTATCCCTAGCTGGACGACATGAATACCTTGCACACAAAATAACTTATTTCTGAAGAAATGCTCTAAAATACGTACACTGTGGATTTACTTTAGAATTAGCAACAATGAAACATGGTAGAGTTCTTGCATTGGAAGCCCAGCGACCTGGTTGCAGACCCTAGTGCTGTAACAAAAGGCTTCAGAAGTCAAAACCCGTAAAGTCAGTGTGGTGACCCTTGCCTTTAATCTCAGCACCCATGAGACAGAGACTGCAGCTCTGTTCAAGACCAGCCTGGGCTACATAGTGAGACCCTGTCTCCAAATCAACAAACTAACCAGAAATCCAGGTTTGGTGTCTGTAATCACTTCTATCACTCGCTTGTATTCTCAGGAGAATCATGACCTTTAAGCCAACCTGGGCTATATATCAAGACTGTCTTTAAGAAAAAAAAAAAGTAAGTTTAATGGCAGGGGCAGGCTGGAGAGATGGCTCATTGGTTAAGGCCTTGGGTTTGGTTCACGGCACCCACACTCTCAGCCATCCCTGCCTCCAGACCAGGGTATCCAATACCAGCGTTGTCCTCTGACCTCTGTAGGCACCAAGCACATACGTGGTGCGCGCGCATGCGCACACACACACACACACACACACACACACACACACACGCGCGCGCGCGCAGGAAAACATGCATGTAAACCTGAAATCCTTATAGATATTTTCTGTGGGGTAATGATGTCACTAATAAATGTTCTCAAAATAAATAACTGCCAGCCTTTACTGTTTGACACATCTGTAAGAATAAACTGCCTGTCATGGTATATTATTTGTTGTTAGGGCTTTGAACAATCTTGAATATATTTTAATGTATTACAATTATCTTTGCATTCTTAACAATAATTATTTTAGGTCTACTGGCTATTCAGAGGTGATCGTTGTGGTTGGAGGCTGTGAACGAGTTGGAGGATTTAATCTTCCATACACTGAGTGCTATGATCCAGTAACAGGAGAATGGAAGTCCTTGGCCAAGCTTCCAGAATTTACCAAATCAGAGTATGCTGTCTGTGCACTAAGGAATGATATTCTTGTTTCAGGTAAATAAAAAATTATTACTACTGTTTTTGATTTAGGTACAGATTGACTGTTTTAAAAATAATATCTTGTTGAGTGTGAAATGGATATTTCAGGCCAACTAATTTATACAAAACTGAAAAGACCTTTTGCCCTTGAAAACCAGAATGATTTACAAAAGATCTACCAGAAAATGCTTTTGGTCGTGGTATTTGAAATGCTTTTACATATGCTTAGAGTATATGTGTTTTAACTGTGTGTGTGTGTGTGTGTGTGTGTGTGTGTGTGTGTGTGTGTGTGTGTGTCTGTGTGTGTCTGTGTGTGTGTCTGTGTGTGTGTCTGTGTGTGTGTGTGTCTGTGTGCACTCAGGCATATTTAAGTGTTTCCTGTGTGTGTTTGTGTGTGTGTATACAAGTACACACGAGTGCACAGGTGTGCGTGTGGGAGAGCATAGACGTGCCTGCAGAGGCCAAAAGAGGTCATCAGCTCTGGAGCTGAAGTTATAGGCAGCTGTAAGCTCATGGAGTTGCTGGGAACACTCAGGTCCTCTGGAAGAGGGGCAGCCGTTCTGACTATGGAGCCACCTCTCCAGCCTAATTATGGTTTAACTTTATTCCTTTGGGTTTTAAAGGAGCTCTGTAAACAATTGAGTCAGAAGTACTCACATGTTTAATTTGCCTGTTTTCTGAAAATTTTTCCCAAAGTTAAATCAATTAAAATTTTTCTATAAAATCCTTGAGTTGAACATATTTACTATGTGTGATGTCCTAAAATTCAGAAAAAATGACGTATTTTCAAAAAAGTATACCTAGTATCTGTGATTTGAAGCCTATTGACTGACAAATAACTTAATTAGCCTTGCAGATTATTTTACTACCCAGTGAATGGCACTACAACATACACCTGATTTTGTATGGTTTTTAAAACATCTTTAAAATAGTCATGCTGTTTGTAGTTATCTGATGCCTGATTTGTAAAACTCACTGTCTGTATCTTATTCTTATGGAGCTTATGGTCATTATTTCTCAAGGTAATAGCTGACAGGATTTAAATCTGCTCTGTGTGACCATTTCCATTAAGCTGGAGGGTTCCTCCTTTATTGGTTGAGCTAGTTCTGAACCTCTCAGATTGAATGGGTCAATTCTGCTTTGTTTACCTATGTGTTAGTGGCATAGATCTCTTGGTCATGTTCAGTGACGTTGCCGAATGTGCACTGTTTTACATTTGAAGGTGGAAGAATCAACAGCCGCGATGTCTGGATTTATAACTCACAGCTAAATATCTGGATCAGAGTTGCGTCTCTAAATAAAGGCAGATGGCGCCACAAAATGGCTGTCCTCCTTGGTAAAGTAAGAGAAACGGCTTTATTACTACTGTGGGATATGTCCAAAAGAAATGCCACAGCTGCGGCTTGCATTTCCCTCTGGGTGTTTTGGCTTCAAGTGGTATTTCCTTCCATTCCTAACCAAGATAAACTAAAGACATAAACAATATGACACTGTACTTTTTGAATAGATATTTTGTTCTCCCGATTTCAAATTTGTGGCAGTCCAGCACATTTCTCACACACTGGAATCCAAATCTGAAGAAGAACTGGAAAGGCGTATCTGATACAAACCAGGCCGGTGTCTGGTCCACACAGCCTCTTCCCTTTTACTGACTTTGGCAATCAAGCAGAAAAAGGTTTTATTTTAAGTGGTATTATTTAGCCTTCTTTATTTGTGAAAGAGGGGATAAAACTCTCCAGCATGCTCTGCGTGTGTGTGTGTGTGTGTGTGTGTGTGTGTGTGTGTGTGTGTGTGCGCGCGCGCGCATGCGTGTGTGCACGTATGTGTGAGATGCATGTTTAAATTTTCAGGTTCACACACGTGACACCTGGAGGCCAGGGGAGGATGTCACATGTCCTGCTCTTTAACTTCACCTTACTCCCTGAAGGCAGGGTGCCAGCCAGCAAGCCCCATCCCCTACAGCACTGCTCTTACAGAACATTGCCTTGTTTTTATGTGGGTGTTGGGAATTTGAACTCAGATCCTTATACTTACACAGCAAGCCCTCTTACTTGCTGAACCATTTCCTCAGCCCCTTCACCAACATGTTTTCTAGGATATCTATTATAGACTACAGCTAACAAACGTATTAAAATGATGCAACTGGCCAGGCGGTGGTGGCGCACGCCTTTAATCCCAGCACTTGGGAGGCAGAGCCAGGCGGATCTCTGTGAGTTCGAGGCCAGCCTGGACTACCAAGTGAGTCCCAGGAAAGGCGCAAAGCTACACAGAGAAACCCTGTCTCGGAAAACCAAAAAAAAAAAAAAAAATGATGCAACTGGATGCCAAACAGGATGCTCCACCTGTAATCCTGGCTCTTGGGGGCCCAAGTCAGGACTGTCACAAGTTCCAGGCCAGCCTCAGCTACACAGTAATACTGTCTCAAAATTTTTTTTTTTTTTTTACAATTTGGGTTCTGAACATTAACTACCATTATTTAATCTGAAACTGGTCTGTGAGTTAGTGGTTTGGGACTTTTTTTTTTTTTAAAGGCAGCTCACTGTGTAGCCCTGGCAGGCCTGGAACTCATAGAAATCCACCTGCCTCTGCCCCCTGAGTGCCCCCTCTTGAAGCACTACACTCACTTTTTAACATTAAACAGATAGAGAAGCTCTGCTTGTTCCTGAGGAACGTGGAACCTGTTAGCCATTCCCCAATGCCGTCTTTATCACCTTGTCCGAAACACCTCAAATGAAGTGAAATGAGTCTCCCCTTGGCCTGTGGCACCCCTTTCTGAGAAGATGTGGTATCTTAGGCTCCACTGGGACACGTTTCAGAGCCACCAATGGAAAACCAGAACTTAGTCCAATCAGAGTGGTTGCCCTGGTGGCCTCCCTCTCAGCCTCTCCTTCGCCCTGTCCCCCACAGAGGCGTCCTGAAACCTTCATAGTATGGAACACTAGAGGTCCTTGAACAGTTCCAAAGCTGTTGCTTAGTTGGACACAGTGATACATGCCTGTAACCCCAGTGCTTGCAAGGCAGAGAGATCAAAAGTTAAAACAGCCTGACCTATATATAGCAAGTTTGGGGCAAGCTTGGACTATACCTCTCTCTCAAAAAATAAAAGAAAATAACAGCAGAGGAGAGCATGGGAATCCTAAGCCCAATGTATATTATACGCTTTCATAAAAATATCCTCATATACAATGAATATACACAAGGAAAAATGTATCATTAAAGGAATTAAAAATATTTTTGCCGGGCGGTGGTGGCGCACACCTTTAATCCCAGCACTCGGGAGGCAGAGCCAGGCGGATCTCTGTGAGTTCGAGACCAGCCTGGTCTACAGCGCGAGATCTAGGAAAGGCGCAAAGCTACACAGAGAAACCCTGTCTCGAAAAAACCAAAAAAAAAAAAAATATATATATATATATATATATTTTTTTTTTTTTAAATGAAGGTCAATATCTTGTTTGAGATGTGTGTATATGATTGCCACATGTGTGTAGGCCTGTGGAGCGCAGAAGATGGCATTGAATCCCCTGGAATTGGAGTTCCCGGCAGTTGTGAGGCACCCAATGTGAGGGCTGGGATTCAAACTCCAGACTCCACAGGAGTAGAAAGTGCTCGTAACTGAATAGCCGTCTATCCAGCCCCCGTTTTTTGGTCATGGATCTCATGAAGCGTGGGCTGACTTCCAGCTCCGTAACTGAGGATGACCTAACTCCTGATTCTCCTTCCGACAGTTCTAAAGTACTGGAATGGCATTCATGCACCCCACTCCATTACCCTTTAAAAGAAACAGTCATTTCAGCTCAGTGGGGGTAAAGCTTTTGCCGCACAAGTGTGAGGATCAGAGTTCAAATCCAAAGAACCTACATAAAACCAGGAGCAGGAGCACACATGTAATCTAGTGCTCCTGTGTCAAACTGGGTGGTAAAGACCGGGGAATTCCTGGAAGCTCCTGGACAACTGGTCTGGCATACACAATGGAAGACAATGAGACCCTGTTTCTAAAAATGTAGACGGCTCCAACTGGCACTCAAGCTTGACCTCTGACCTATACAGACATACCAGATACTACAGTGGAAAGAGAGACCCACCTCCAGGAAGTTGTCCCCTCACTTCCGCACGCGCACCAGACACATGGTAGTCCTTTTCTTTCTAAGGACAAAACAGGCCGGCAAGACGGGTCAGTGGTCAGATGGGTCAGCGCTTGTGGCCAAGCCTGACGCCTGAGCTTTATCTCGGAGATGCACACCGTGGAAGGAGGACACTTACTCTCAGAACTTGTCCTCTGACTTCCACGTATAACACAGTGGCGTGCGTGCACACGATAAATACATTTTAAAAAATACAAAGTATTGCTGGAGAAGTCAGTGCTAAAATAAGAGATTACAAATGAAGTATAACAAAAATAATTTCTAATTATTTAAGCTATACATAAAAGGCAAATAAAAAGGAATGCTGTCTCAAAATCCATATGTTAGTGAACTCTTAATTTACTTGACAAACGTTAGGTTGTTTGATGTGATGGCAACCAAAGCAAGCTGGTCATTGTGGCCCATAGAATCCTAACTCTTGGGAAGCTGAGGCAGGATGATGTCAAGTTCAAGGCCACTTTGGGCTCTGTAGCAGGACCATCTCGTTGAATAAATAAATAAGCAAACAAATATGGTATCACACTTCTGCTCCGCTGTTTCCACCTGAGGCAGGAGGATGAAGAGTAGAGAGCAGCTAAGCTGTCTGAAATCCTATCTCCAACAACAACAACAAACAGTTCAAAGCTTAGAAGGACTGTATTTTTAAAAACATATTTCATCTCGTACACAGCAAGTACACAGCTCATGGGAACTATTCTGAAAATTAGAATAAGGCTAAAGTCAGACCTGTGAAATTATTTACATTTATAAACACTGTTTATAGGAGCTGGAGAAATGACGCAGCAGTCAGAAGCACTGGCTGCTTTTGCAGATGGCCTGGATTCAGTTCTCTGCACCCACATGGCCGCTCACAACTATATCTCCAGTTCCAGGGGATCCAGTGCCCTCTCAGCCTCTGGGCAGCAGGCACACATGCGATGACAAGCATCCATACAAAACACATAAATCTTCAAAAAATCTACAGAGAAACTTAGGATGACGTAGAATGAAGCATCTTAGAAAAGGAAATAATTAGTAAGGAGTATTTAATGAGAGTCTGGCTTTGTGGCATATGCCTCTAATCCCAGATGCTGAGGCAGGAGAATAGCAAATTTAAGACCAGCTTGGGCTTCATAGCGGTGAAACCCTGCCCCCAGAAAAAAATACCTCAGAAACCTTACACATTTAGAAAGAAGTAATGCAGCAGCAGAAACTCAGATTTTCTTAGTCCAGAAGCATCTTAATGTCCGTGTTCATGGTGTGCGTCTGTTGTTTACATATGTGTATAGAGTAGATCATATTTAACCTCCAAAGCTGAACTATGTGTCAGGTGTTGTCAGGTGAGACTCATGCTAGTAATCACAGACTTGGAAGGCTGAAGCAGGAGGATTGCCACAAGTTTAAGGCCAGCCTATGTTATAGAGTGAGGCCTTGTCTCAGAAATCACAAAAAAGATTATGTGGCGATGTTCTATATTATTTACAGTTTTTAAATTAAAGAATTATTTGTGTGTGTTTGTGTTGAGTGTTTTTTGTTGAATGTATGTACATGTCTGTGCCCTTGAAGGCCAGAAAATGGTGTCAGATCCCCTGAAGCTGTAATTACCCTGTGTGGGTGCTGGGAATAGAACCCCGGTCCTCCACAGGCACTCTTGACTGCTGGGGTGCTGGGAATAGAACCCGGGTCCCCCACAGGCGCTCTTGACTGCTGAGCCGTCTCTCTGGCACCATGTTTGTTTGTTTGCTTGGAACAAGACACATTGCACTTGAGAAATGGGCACTTAAAGTGGTGTTGGCTGCTGCGGATATACAAAAGCACACGGAAGGATAAATTATGGATGACTTAAGTCATAAGGTGTGAAGTTTAGGCATTCATTGATGACCTGTAAAAGGATTGATGGTGTTTAAGAAGGATGGAATGTGGTTATGGGAGCTGTGAAATGATGTGATCCTCGGGCACATCACCCTTGGTGATGATGGAAAGCAGCAGGAAGGGCAGGCATGAGAGGTCGTATGGAAGACCCAGTTGACCTTCACAGTTAGTTAGATGTGGCGAAAGGAGTTGATGATAATTATTGTCCATTAAAAGAAATGTGGCTATGAAACTGGAAAGCTTGATTCAAAGTTTCTTAATATAGCCATGTGGTGGTGGCGGCGCACCCGTTTAATCCCAACACTGGGGAGGCAGAGGCAGGTGGATCTCTGAGGCCAGCCTGGTCTACAGAGCTAGTTCCAAGACAACCAGGGCTACAGAGGAAACCCTGTCTCAGAAATAATAATAATAATAATAATAATAATAATAATAATAATAATAATAATAATAATTCTGATATACCCATGATGCATAAGGGATTGTTTGCATGTAAACCATTCACTAAATGTCTTGTTTATGGCTTTGGCTGTCATATAAAGGTATTGCCCCACCACTGTTCATGGAAAATGTTGAGAAAGCTCTTTGAATTCACTGTGTCTCAGGTGTTTTTCTAGCTGCTATTGGTACTAAAAGATGGGCCTTGCCTTCAGAGAGCTCACACTACTGACCCTTACCTGGTGGTGTAGTTGTATAACTTTATTACTTTATAACCAAATATCTCATTGCTGAGTGAACAAGAATTGAAAAACCTTATTCCTGTGGGTATGGTAAAAACTTGTTCTTCAAAGGAGGTGAAAAAAAACATAGCGAGTCATAGACAAAGCCCAGGTGTATACAGTGAGGTAAACAAATACACAGTATGCCTGTGTGGTTAAAATGTCACTGAAGGGAACATACCAGAAAAGGCTCTATAATGGCAGTAGTCAGAGGGTTGCTGAGAAATGAAAAAGTCTCAGAAAACTCGACTAGATAACATTGTAGTCATAGCTGTCGAGGCTTCAGATGAGAGGGACCCTCTAATTTTAAGTGAGCAGATAAACATTTTAGACTTGCCACGAAGATTCTTTCCCTGCATTTTACATACAGGTATATGTTGTCGGAGGCTATGACGGGCAAAACAGACTTAGCAGTGTCGAGTGTTACGATTCCTTTTCAAATCGCTGGACAGAAGTTGCGCCCCTTAAGGAAGCAGTGAGCTCTCCTGCAGTGACTAGCTGTGTCGGGAAGTTGTTTGTGATTGGCGGAGGACCTGATGATAACACTTGCTCTGATAAGGTAAGCTGTGTGCTTAGAGAACGCCCTGCTGTTTACAAAGAGGAGACAGATGGCCTGTTGGCTAGGTCACCAAAAAAAAAAATGGTCTGCTGTCCTGTTCTGAGGGAAAGCACTGAATTTCAAGTCGCCACAGTGACACCATTATATAGCCAGTAATTTGCAGTGTGTAACAGATGTGGTTAAACCTTTTTGAAATGAGACTGATCTCAGTAAAATCCTTTACTGTTGTCTACAGGATTTAAATGCAACACAGAAAAGGAAGTGAGCGAAGGTCAAGGCACTAATGAAACTGCTTCTGCTTCCAGCTGGGTCATTTCTTAAACTTTTGAAGGGTGTTTTGGGTTTTGTTGTTTGGTTTGGTTTAGTTTGGTTTTTGTTTTTAGAACAAAAGAAGAGGAAAGATTTCCTCTATAGTGTAAACAGAGGATGGCCCAAAGTAGCTGCAGCTCGTTCAACTCAGGGACAGAAGAATGTGTCCTGGCATTTCAGGAGACGCCATGTTGATTCTGAGGAAGGGTATCCAGTGGCTAATTGGTTTGGTAGTGATATGGAATTTCATCAGTCAATTCATTTATTTTCTTACTTCAATGTTAATCTATCATCAGATGGTCAAGGTGCTCACCACCAAACCTGCTGATCTGAGTTCAATCCCCAGCTCCTGGGCTAGGCGAGCACCACCTCCGACGGTTGTCCTCTGACCTCCACATGGGGGCACGGTGGCAGTAAAGAGATAAAGCTACCTAAAAATACTAAATAAAGTTGCCTCGTTCTTCTGGAGTGAGTGATGGTTTTTAGCGGCGCTCTTACCCTGTAAGGAAAAGTCGTGAAACATGACAGAATCCACTAACAAGAGTTTTATTAAGACAAGGACAAAGGGATAGATGTGATTGCGCCTGCTGAAAGGACACATGAGAGAAAAGGGGGCGGGGGGACATGGGGCCTGCCTTTTTAAGGGCCAGCCCGCACATGTGCACACAGGCCCACGTGGCTACTCCACGCATGCACATAGATCATGTGGTCATGCCATGTGCAATTTATGTGACCACATAGCACAGGACTGTGACCTGGAAATGACTAAGTGTCCCGCCGGGGCATGCTGGACCATGGGGCATGGCTGGAATTCCTATCAGTAAGGACTAAACACATAAAGAAATTATATTCAGATGGAGACATGATTAACTTACATAAAGCAATTTCAGAAAAACTTAAGACTTACTTTTAGTGTACATTAGTAAACCTGGAGGCCGTTCTTCTTGGAAGTAATTGGTGTGTGTTTTGTTACTGTCTTCTGCTTGACGGTAATAAATTAGCCTTTCCTTGGTGATTTTCTCTTTTTTCAATCAAAGGAGATTTATCCTTCACCCAAAAAGTAAGAATTTTCTTAATTCATAAATTTTATTAATCAGACTAACCTTATTTAATTCTTTGAGTTAATGGCATTTGATTTTTAACCATGATTCTATATATTGACAGATTTTTAAAGCAAATTTACATATTTGTTTAGACAACTTGCTCCCTATTTTTCTGTATTATTAGGTCCAATCTTACGATCCAGAAACCAATTCTTGGCTACTTCGTGCAGCTATCCCAATTGCCAAGAGGTGCATAACAGCCGTGTCTCTGAACAACCTGATCTACGTGGCTGGGGGACTGACCAAGGCGGTGTATTGTTACGACCCCGTGGAAGACTACTGGATGCATGTACAAAACACATTCAGCCGACAGGTAACAGCACAGAGGCCAACCAGAAGCTAAGAGCAAATAAGTGACATGATTATTTACTAGAATTTCACTTTCCAAATATTTCATAATTTTTTTTTTTTTTTTTTTTTTTTTGGTTTTTCGAGACAGGGTTTCTCTGTGTAGCTTTGCGCCTGTCCTGGAACTCACTTGGTAGTCCAGGCTGGCCTCGAACTCACAGAGATCCGCCTGGCTCTGCCTCCCGAGTGCTGGGATTAAAGGCGTGCGCCACCACCGCCCGGCTTATTTCATAATTTTTAAACTCCCTCCCAAGGAATTGTTTTTTATTCTTTTATGTTCTTTTGTGGTGTTGGGAATCGGGTCCAGGACCTCGTGAACACTAAGTAAATACTCTACACTGAACTCCATACTCTGCCCCGAGGGTTAGCTTCTTTTTAATCAACCCAACATGAAGCATCCATTGTATTTAGGCTTTTGACTGAAAAAACTCAACTTTCACATTTTTCAAAATATTGTTCTGTTCTCCTGCCCTTTCTCTTTGCTATTTCAGAAAAGGAGGTCAGACTGAGGGCCTGTTAGTTTTACTGTAAAGGAGATGGTTGTGCTCAGGCCTCTCATCCACACACTCCACCTGAACAGCAGAGATAAACTGCTGTTCTAGAAAGGGTCCAGCCCCAGGTTCTTGGCTCTGCTCACCTTCCCTTGACTACCAAAATGCTGCTTCTGATGCTGGAATTCTGTCTCTCCTCATGTTAGTGTGTGCACGGGGATGTGAGTGCCCAGAGAGACCAGAGGAGGGGCCGCTCTCCTGGAGCCTCAGTTACAGGTGGTTGTGAGCCACCTGATGTGGGTGCTGGGAACGAAACTGCAGCCTTCTGCAGATGGCAGAAGTGCTCTTACCCCTGAGCCAGCCTGCTCCCCGCAAATGTATTCTCCCTTTCTTTTTCTTCCTTTCTTTGATTGGCTGGCTGGATTTTGTCTTTCTCTCTTTCTTTTTTTAGACAAGGTCTCACTGTGTAACCCTGACTGGCTTGGAACTACTGTCCTCTCCCTCCTGAATGCAGAGATTAAAGATGTGCAGCATACCCAGCCTCCAAAGACAAGTTCTTAAAGGTCACCAGGAGGCATCTCTCCTGTTGTTTTCTTAGTCCTTGTTTTTTCCACTCCATCTTCAATGAGTGCTGCTTAGCCTCTTTCCCCTGACTTAACTCCAGTTGACTTCTGAATTACTTCATTTGCTGCTCAGGGCTCACCCTGTTCTAACCCTTGTTCCCACCTGCTGTGGGACACTGTCCATGGTGCTCCAAAGCTGCAGACTTACAGTGGATCTGTCTCTTCTCCTGGTCTGTGTCCAGACATCCTAGACACCTCACTAGGCTTCTTCACAGTCTCTAAAAGAGGGATGCTCACACACTGGAGCTGTCCTCAGAGTCCTGTCCTCCAGTCTAGCTTCTCCAAGCCGCTTTGCTACAGTTATTCTCCAAACAAATCTTGTTATGTCCCCTTGACTGGAAACCTACTGAATGAACTCCCAAACCTCCCCGCTTTGTTAGAGACCCTCTCGTGTCTCCTCTTCGTTTTCTTTCCCACTTGCTGTTAGCCAAAGGGCTTTGTTTTTTCTTTTCTTTTCTTTTTTTTGAGACAGGGTTTCTCTGTGTAGCCCTGGCTGCCCCCAAACTCACAGAGATCCACCTGCCTCCGCCACCCAAGTGCTGGGGCTAAAGGTGTGTGCCACCATGCTCCACTGATTGTTTTTCCAATATCATTTCCTGTAACTTTATTCCCATTATATTATTAAGTGTGTGTTTTTATTTTCAGTACAGATCACATGTTATTTCAGATTGTTGATCCCCCGGCCTGTGCTGCTTCTGTACCTCTGTACTTGTAATTCCACTCATCCTCCAACAACAAACGCAGGTTATCTCGGTTAGAACTGACCTTTTCCCCACGGTTTTTGTAGTATTCACACTGAGTATAGCAGTTGTGTACTCAAAATTTCTGCTTATTTAATTGTGTTGATTTTGGTTTTTTGACTGGTTCTCAGGTAGCTGAACCTAGCCTTGAACTCTTGATCCTCCTGCCCCCACAGCTGTCTACTACAGTGCCAGGATCCCTTAGGAGTTTCGGTTTGTTTTTAACTTGTTCGTGTGTACGTATGTTTGTGTGTGTGTACGTTTGTTTGTGTGTGTGTATGTATGTTTGTGTGTGTGTATGTATGTTTGTGTGTGTGTACGTATGTTTGTGTGTACGTACGTGTGCACAGCACACGTGGAGGTCAGAGGGCAACATCAGGACCCCACTGTGTGGACCCTGGAATGGAACACAAGTGGTTGGAATTGGTGAGAAACACCTTCTAACCACACGCCCTCTACCAGGTCCCCTTGTGGTTTGTTAGGAGTGTGAGTGTGAATTATGTGTGCATGTCATGTGTGTAAGTGCCCCAGGTATGAGAAAAGAACGTTGGATCCCCTGGAATGACTGCTGGGAACTGAACTTGGGTCCTCTGGAATAGCAGCAAGCACTCTTAACCACTAAGCCATCTCTTTCCACTGCCCTGGACTGGTTTTGTTTGTTTCTTTTTGGATTTTATTTTATTGGTGGGTCTGTGTGAATGTATGCCATGTTTATTTCCTATACTGGAATTCAGCCTTCTTTAGGATACTGTTGAATTAGCAGTTCGTTTCCTCTATATCTTACATATGTTCATGTTCAGAATGTAGTTTGCTGAATTAGTGAACAAATGAAGTAAACAGCCTGACCGTCTCCAACCCCACATGTGCTCCTACTGGGGTGTACAATCTCTAATGAATTTTTTTAAGTAAGTGGGGAGCATTTTTAAGTCAGTAATGAATACTTCTTTTCCTTCTTCGGTACATCAAGCATTTAAACTGTTGTTAAAGTTTAGAATAGTTATATGAAAGCAAGTTTGTAATCTCAGCACTTGTTGTGGGTACTGAGACAGGAGGATTGTTGTCAGTTCAAGGCTAGCCTGGGCTACAGACTAGTAAGATTCTGTATATTTGGGGTTTTTTTTAACTATTTATTTTTATTTCATGTGCATTAGTGTTTTGCCTGCATGTATGTCTGTGTGAGGGTGTCAGATACCTTGGAACTGGGGTTACAGAGAGCTGTGTGTTGGGCACTGGGAACTGAACCCAGGTCCTCTTGGAGAGCAGTCGGTGCTGCCAACCACCAAGCCACTCTCCAGCCCCTGTATTTTTGTTTTTAAAGACTCCTCTTTATATTCCTTTTGCCTAATAATTATTTACACACAAATACAATTTGGCTAAGGATCTCATTATGTAGAATTAACTAAAAGTGTATTGGTGGCATTTCTGTGTCCCAGCCAAGACCTCTAGTAACAGAAGTTTTTTACTTTGATTAAAACCTGTTTTTCTCCGGGCAGTGGTGATGCACACCTTTAGTCCCAGCACTCGGGAGGCAGAGGCAGGCCAGCCTGGTCTATAGAGCAAGATCCAGGACAGCCAAGGGAAACCCTTTCTTTAAAAACCAAACAAACAACTGTTTCTCATTCATTTTTTCTCTTAAGGCTCTCTAAAGGGACTAGTGTCCCTGTTCCTTGGTCCTGTGATTATTATAATGGCGTCCCCTCACTGCAGTAAGCGATGTAAAGCCTTGTCAGCCTACCGTGCCCTTCAACCGTGGCCGCTGTCACGAACAGTACCCTCACTCCGTTCATGCAAATGTCCAGCACTCACACGTGTAGCAGGTGTTGGGCAAAAGGTAGATGAGCTGATATTAGATCTCCCCTTCTTGAACTGTGTTAAAGCATGTTAGTGTTTTTCAGTTCATTGTCAAATCCTTTATCTTCAATAGTTAATTGTTTGTTTCTTTATGTGTTTGGTTAAACAGGAAAACTGCGGTATGTCTGTGTGTAATGGTAAGATCTATATCCTGGGTGGAAGACGGGAAAATGGAGAAGCCACAGACACTATTCTCTGTTACGACCCTGCGACAAGTATCATCACAGGGGTCGCAGCAATGCCCAGACCAGTGTCGTATCACGGCTGTGTGACTATCCATAGATACAACGAGAAATGCTTTAAGCTCTAAACCCAGGGTACCTCACACGAGAAGCCACGCCAGTCCAAGAGGGAAGTTTTAAAAGCTACCAAGTGAGAACACATCTTTGTGCTGTACGCAGAAAGACAAAAAGAAATAAAGAAATAATCCTGATGCCTTTCTGCCCCAAATATCAATATTTGAAGCTGTAATCAATCCTTTCCTGTAACTGGGGTGAGGGGTGTTAAAATGAGGTGGTTAAAGCCTGGCATTGTAGTGCACACCTTTAATCCCAGCACCCAGAAGGCAAAGGCAGGAGGATTCCTGTGAGTTTGAACCCAGCCTGATCTGCATAACAAGTTCTAGGTCATCAAGGGCTACAAAATAAGACCTTGTCTCCAAAAAAAAAAAAAAACCATTTGGCCTACGAATATACTTTTTCATCTGTGAGAAACTGTGGGGTAGGAAATGATACCCAGCTGTAAACTTCTTAGGGATTTGTGAACTGTCTTTTAGGAATGTTGATTTCTTTTTTGTCAGTTATGTAGAGAAAAATTGTATGAATGAAGCTTCGTTTAGATTGAATCACCTGATATTAAGAATGTTCAGAATTCATTGTGAGGAGAAGAAATACGTTTTAAACATCTCTGTCACTGACTTTATCCATCCTGATTAATTTCAGTGAAGATGGTTTTCTTTCCTAATTGTAAAAATGTAGTAACAATTCAGTTACCATAAAATACCAAATTTTGTGACTTCATAGACTGTTCTCTGTTATTAAATCCCTTTTGTGAGCTTAAGTAGAAGATATAAAAGTAAGGAGAGCCGGGCGGTGGTGGCGCACGCCTTTAATCCCAGCACTCGGGAGGCAGAGCCAGGCGGATCTCTGTGAGTTCGAGGCCAGCCTGGACTACCAAGTGAGTTCCAGGAAAGGCGCAAAGCTACACAGAGAAACCCTGTCTCGAAAAAAACCAAAAAAAAAAAAAAAAAAAAAAAAAAAAAAGTAAGGAGATTTAAATTATACGTTAGTCCCTAAGGAAAAAATTAAAATAGCTATTGAAGAAAAAAAATGTGATACACTTGGGTACTCAGGGTATTTAATGAATCATCTGTGAGTCTGCTACAGAAGTTTTTCCCTTAAAACTAACAGAGGAGTTGAAATCCCTTTTACAGAGCCAGGAGGGGGTGTACATCTGTATCCAGGATCTGGACCGCGCATCAGAAGAAACCATACTGGGACTGAAGAGATGGCTCAGTGTTTAAGGACACTTACTGCTCTTGCAGAGAACCCTGGTTTGGCTCCCAGCACCCGAATTAGATGGTTCACAAAGGCCTGTAATTCTAGTTCCAGGAAACCCAACACCCTCTCTCTTCTCTGGGCACCTACAGGCATGTGGTGCACATAAATTCACATAGACACACATATGTACATAAAAGAAATAAATCTTTAAAAAAAACAAAAGTACATTTGTAGTACTGCTGTAAGAAAAACACGACAGGTTTGCTCCCTGCCCAGCACAGTGAGTTCATCTTCTGGTCTGATGCTTGCTCAGGTGCCTCTTCCCTGCCTAGTCAGCATCTCGTCCTAGCAATCTGCCGATTCCTTGATAGCCTAGAGCAGAGGCGCTCCTCTCAGTGGGGCCACTTGGTTGTAAGTTAGTGCTGAGCAGAAATCTCTTACTTGGGAGCCATTGTATAAAATATTGATCAGCACTTCCAAATTTCTACTAAAATTTTTTAGGTTTTTCACCTCCCATTTCCAGTGTTCAAAGGGAAATGCCGAAGTTTTTTCTTAGAAATATAAGTGGGTACAGCAGGAACTAAACTACCAAACTGATTATCTCGTAACTTGTGTGTGGACAGATAGCGATTTGCAATGCTGTAGGCCGTCCTGGGTGTTTGCAGTGTGTGACTTCCCAGGCACCTTTGTCTCTCACAATACAATATACTCCTTGTCAGTGACTATGATGTTACTAGATTTCTGTTAAAGTTAAGGTAATCATCAGAAGCCCAACACTGGCAAACTTCTTCCTCATCTTAGAATAATACAGATATTTCTTAAGAGTCAATGCTTAATTCGAATCTAAATTCTGAGAGAAAAATGCTAGAAAATACACTTATGAAATTGTTTTCAAGTCATAAATTTTAAATTTTAAACGATATAACTGATAATTATAGAAGCAGTTCAGAAAACAATTATCTGTCAATTGAAAGACAGTTGTATGTACAATTGAGGGTATTTGTACTGTAATTTTATAGTAAATACCTGCATTATACTTTTGTTAGATAATGGAAACGTTTTAATTCAGAAATTCTTAACAGTAAAGTGTGTGAACAAAAGTGTTTTGTAAATGCTTAGGATTCTACAAATCATCGTTATTCTCATGTATATTTGTAAGATGGTGTCCATTCATAAATACATCATATAAAAGACTTTCTCAAAGTAAATTTGTATTTCAGTATTTTTGTCTATTGTAAAAATATTATCTACTTGTATTTTGTAATGTTTATCTTTCATATACCCTTGTGTTTATTGTAGTAAATTGGAAAAATGCTGAAAAATCCTAATTTGCTTAAGCAAATCAGTTTTTCTTTATGTAATTTAAAACCATATAAATTGAATAGTTGCAAATTATGTTAACAGTCACCAGAAAGTATCTTGAGTCCTAGAAAATTAACTTTTTAAAGCTGCCCAATTGATACTTAACTTCTTTTAATTACTTATCTTTCTTATATTTTAACTTCTTTTATTACTTATCTTTCTTTGCTAATTCTTGATAAATAGTGGTGGTAAGGCCTGGTTTAAAAAATTAGTTTTAGGGTATAATTAATATATTAAAAGGGATGTATCAACATCTTGGTGTCATACCATATTCATGCTGTCCTCCCATAATTGGCAGAGTTTCTTTTGGTAGGTGATGCTTATGTGCATCTCTAAGTTACCTGTATGTGTTCATATATAGACTGTATGGTTGTGTACATACATCACAAATACCCAATGATTTTTGCAGTTTCGTTGTCAGAAACAGATGTGATAAAAAAAAAAATTAGTTGATCGTGTTCTATTCAATTTGCCGAAGACTAAATTTGAACATTTCTAGAGTACTCTTTGTTGTTGAGACAGGATCTCTGTAGCCTGTGCTAGCCTCAAACTCTTGGCAACTCTTTGCCTTCTGAATGCTGCAGGCACAAATGGAAGCCAGGACCAGTTTTCTAGAATAATACTTTCATCTGGAAGTACAGATCTGGTCATGAGGATCTGTGTAACAGCAGTGTTAGGGATCAGAAAGCAAGCTGCTGGTAGAGGAGTCCACAAGAGCCTGTTGAGGTCATCCCAGCTGGAAAGAACTTGAAGGTGTGTTTGTGGATCAACAGAAAATTACACTTGGGTTTTGTGTGCATTTTTTCATGAACTTGAATCCTTTTCCAACTCTTCTCCATGTATGTGAAAAGGTGGCCTGAGTTCCTCCTTTTCTTCTGTGCCATCCCCACTGACTCTACTAACAGGTGAATTGAATTTTCTGTAGCTGTTTTCGTAGACGATTGGGATCCAGGTGTTTACTCCATTTCAATCAGGTTTAAAAATACATAAATGCTCAGGGAGGATGTGAGCCTGTGGCTGCTGCCTGTTGGGGTGTGTGCAAAGTGCTGTCTCTTAAATACTATTCAGTTGACAACTCTAGACTAAAATTCGTTCAGAAGCTTCACACATGGCCGTAGTTGAACATACGGTCTACTTAGAAGGATGACAGTGCTTCGTGAGCTGACACATTCTCTGGTGAGTAGGAACTGTGTATGTATCTGCTGTCAGCCTCCCATTTGGAAAGACAAAGGCTGTTTTTCTACTTTTGTCCATGTCCAAACCAGGTGGGTGCCGCTTTTTCCTGACCTGACAACAGATTTTAAAAATCACTGAGAGCCCATGCACTGAGAGGGGAAGGAAGTTGAGTTACTGTGTGTGTGTTCCTTTAACATCTCTGGATATATATGTGAAAAGGATACATACTCCAGACTTTTATGTGGCACCAAGTGATAAGATCATGTCTAGAGGTTTCCTGAGGACTGCCTTGTTTTGTAGTCAGTCCAAGACACCACTAGTTAACATGATTTGGCCTTGATAGCCTTAGTTGTGCATAGCTGAGTATGCCCATAATTCCAGCCCCCAGGAGGTGGGGGGCTAGAGGGTCAGGAGAGTTCAAGGACAGCCATGGCTGCATAGTCAGTTTGAGGCCAGACTTTGCCACATGAAATCTCATGTCAGAAATAATCATGGAATGTTTGACATGGAATTATATCACTTCACCCATTATTTTTGTTAGTAAATAAACAATTCACTATACCACATAACCAGAATGAAGCAGTTTGGCTGACCTGTAAGCCAATAGATGGGACTCACTATTCTTACAGCCACATCTAATGCCAGGCATCAGACGCCACTCCCAAGAGTGTAAACTGATAATGCCAGAGATGCTTTCAAAATATTTTAGACGTTTTAAAGCATTGTATCTTAAGCAGGCTGGAGAGATGGTTCAGCAGTTAGGAACACTAGCCTTTCTGCTCCTGCAGGAATCTGTGGGTAGGTCCGAGCACCTTCATGGTGGCTCACAAGCGTCTGTAACTCAGTTCCTGGGGTTCCAATACCCTCTGGCCTCCACAGGCACCAGGCACACATACAGTGCACATACATTATGTGCAAACACTCATAGTACAGACAAAACATTCACGCACATCAAAATTAATGAAAACTATTAAAATAATGTATATGAACCTTTTTACATTTTTGTGATTACCTTAAATATTAAGCTTATATCATATTAAAGGTGATCCTGAGTTTTAAAAAGTGAAGTCATAACTTTATGTATCTTTCCAAAGAAGTTTTGTTGGAATGTTTGTGCCTTAAGCCCCCCAGTGCACTGAAGTCTGATAAAATTAGGCATGCATAAACTGCAAATTTGCCTCCTATGCAGTAATGCGTGTCTTTATTTTTTTGTTGTTTGGTTTTTATTTTTCATTTTTGTTATTGAAACCGGGTTGGTTTTACCTTTTGAGTCAGGGTCATATATAGCTCCGACTGGCCTAGAACTCTGTTTTTGCTAAAGATGCTCTTGAACTCCAATTGTTCTTTATCTCCCAAGTTCTTGGATGATAGCATGTGCTACCACACCTGGCTGTTTGGGTTCTTGTCTGTGGATTGGTTGGTTGGTCGGTCGGTCGATTTAATGTAGCCCCAGCTGGCCTGGAACTTAGTACATGGCCAGGCTGGCCTTGAGCAACTGCAATCCTTCTGCCTCTGTCCACCACACCCATCTGTCCTGAAGTGCGTTGGTGAGTTCCAAGTGTGTCATTGCTTGGCAGAAAGAGAATGTTAAATGAGGTTGTTGCTTGGTTTACATTTTTAACTCTTGGTACCTAGGTGCTTTTAAAATTCTCAGATAAACACCCATTATGTTCTCATAAAGGTCATTTGAAATATCTAATAGTGAAGAAACTATGTGTAGTTATTTCTGTTATGTCTTTATATTAGTCATTAGTTCTGCTCTGGGCTTTTTCTTCTAATTTTCTTGAGAAAGCACTTCCTCTTCCTTGTCACCCCCCTGCAGTGTGAGTTTCCAGAGCTCTCTGAGGTAAGGCTTTCAGAACTGAACAACCATAATGTGCTTTACTGTAAAGCCACACACCTATTGCTTTCGGTTTGAATCTTCACAATGACAAAAGGATGTTTTCTGTGTTCTTCTTCTTGGCTCTGTTGTAGTACATTAATGCTTATGTTTTTGTTTAATGGCACTTCTTCCATAGTTTAAATTTTTAAAAGTTGTATCTAATGTCTTTTAAATATTACTTGACTATATGGTTGCATTAAATTTTGTTTACCAAAAATCTGATGAGTTTTAGTTTTTGTTTTGTTTTAATATACCCAAGTGATTGTATGAAAAAGGGACCAGGGGAAAATCAGATGTTTATATTCACCAGAATAACCATAAAATAAGTGAGGACACAAACAATAAACTAAAGTAGTGATTTGAGGAAAGGAAATGGTGGCTAACAAGAATACTAAAGTTGATGTGTGTTGAGCACGGTCCCCAGTATAGTGGTGTTGAGGAGCTGTTCATAGGAAGCAGAGCTGGGTTTAATAAAGACATGTTAATACAGCCTGTCTAGGAGGGTTAAGAGAAAGGCACTCAGAAAGCAGAACACAGACCCACCTAAGGGCATGGCTGCTGACTTAACAGTCAGCCTAGTGCAATGTGGGGCAGGAAGGGTACTGGATCCCCTGGAACTTGGGTTACAGATGTGAGCCTGCAGGGAACCAACTCCCAACCCTTGAGTGGTAGAATTTTTCAGAAATGAAGGCTCTACCCTGTCCCAGTATTCCTCTCCTTTGCCATCTGAAGCCATGAAGCCCGTTCATGTGGGAGGGTTCCTTATGCTTGGTTTGCCCATTCATACTAAAGGAAATACTGTAAACTGTTTGGAACACTGGCTCTTGAGAGTTGTATCTAGGGACTGGCTGCTTTGTGGGCAGAATCCTGCCTGACTTCTATGAGATCATTTTCCCTCTTACCTGTTTTACAGAACATATTTTCCATTCTTAGGGCATTCTCATTAAAAATCCAGTCTCCTAGGGCATGATGGTATAGGCCTTAAATCCCACTTGGGAGGCAAAGGCAGGTGAATCTCTGTGTAAGTTCAAGACCAGACTACACTACATATCTAGCTTCCAACCACCCAAGGCTACACATTGAGATCCTGTCTCAAAAAAAAAAAATGACATATATGTGTGTATGTACATATGCATACATACATACACATACATATATATATATATACATATATATATATATATATATATATGTATATATATATATGTGAATCAGTAATTTTTGAGTATCAGAGGTTGTCCCAAAATTATGTTCTGTTTGAAAGTTTAGATCCACCTTTATGGGGGAAAAAAGGAGAAAATGGTAGTTCATGTGGGAAACCAAGGACCACTGACAATAAAAACATCTCGTGCAGAATTGGAAGTCCAGCCAGTGAGTTGAGAACACTTGTTCCTCCTAAGAGGACAAGTCCTTCAGGAATTTGGATTAGAGCAGCCTTAATAACTTGATATCAGCTATCTGAGGATGACACCATTTCTTAGAAGTTGGATAAATGGGGGAAAGATAGCTTTTACTTTTTAATGTTTTTAAGTTAGTTTGCCCTTCTGTGCATGTTTATTAACTGTTTGGATAAGGTAAAAGAAGCTTTTCCAAATTTTTTAAGTTGAAACAAAGGCAATTTTTAAAAATAAAGTTTTGAATCTTTTTTTTTAAAAACAGTCTAGTGAAAGGCAGGTAATTATGTGTCACTGCCCTTGTAAGGGATTGAATAGGTCGGTTCTCACAAGAACAGGTTATGCTTAGCTCTCAGCTCCATCTCTGGCTTTCTGTGATTCTCAGCTCTCATGCATTCCCCACCATGACACACACCATCTATGCTGTAATCAAGGCAGAGCCCCCTTCCCCATAAGGGCTAACTGGTCTTCAACCTTTAAAGCCGTGAGCAGAATAAGACTTACTCTGTAGAAGCTACCCAACCAATTAAGTCTAAATTACCTATCCAGTACCCAACAAGAGCTGAGTGTGGGGGCACACAACCTCAACTCCAGCACCCAGAGGCGGGAGCAGGCAGGCAGATTGCTATGAGTGCCAGGCAATAAATAAGTAAAACTAGAACTATAGCGTGGTTCAGCTATACCACTCCTAAGCATATACCCAAAGGACTCTGTACCCTGCCACAAATACTCCACATCCGTGTGCATTGCAGCTCTGCTCACAAAAGCCAGAGGGGTGCGGGGGGGGGGGGGGGGGGGGGGCGGGGGCTGGCATCAAACATGGAGCACAGCAGTGGTCCCCAGATGCTGTATACTATCCTGCCAAAGGAGATGTACATGGTGTCATAGTAGCATGACTGTCCAGGAGTCATCACCTGCTTCCTGGTTGGCTCTGAGGCCCACCATAATGGAGGGAATACCCACTTGGTGCTTTAAATCTGGTAAAAAGCTGGTAGTGCCAGACATGGTGGCGCACGCCTTTAATCCTATCATTTGGGAGGCAAAGCCAGGCAGATGTCTGTGACTTCAAGGCCAGCCTGGTGTACATAGCTAGTTCCAAACCAGCCAGAGTTACATGATGAGACCCTGTCTTTAAAATAGTCTGAGCCAGGGTTGGGGGGTGGCACATGCCTTTAATCCCAGCACTCGGGAGGCAGAGGCAGGCTGATCTCTGTGAGTTCAAGGCCAGCCTGGGCTACAAAGCGAGTTCCAGGACAGGCACCAAAACTACATGGAGGAACCCTGTCTCGAAAAACACACACACATACATACATACATACATACATACATACATACATACATAAAATAAAGTCTGCAGTGTTTGGGTGGAATATTCTCCAGATATTCAAGTTTGTGCTTTCAATTAATTTATTTCTGGGTTTTGTTGGGAAGACATATTAATTGGTGAGAGTATAGTATTGAAGTCACCCCCTGCTGTTGTACTGGGATTATAATGTGACTTCACATTAAAAAGTACTTGGCTGGGCACGATGGCACATACCTTCACCCCAGCACTTGGGAGGCATGGAGACCTCTGACTTTCAAGTCAGCTTTGTCTTCATAGTGAGGTCCAGGTCAGGGCTACATAGTGAGGCCCTTTCTCTGAAAAAAAAAAAAAAAAGAGAGAAGGGTGGTTGGGGGGGCGAGATAAGGATGAAAACAGAAAAGTAGGAGAAGTAAATGAGGGGCTGGAGAGATGGCTCAGAGGTTAAGAGCACTGACTGCTCTTCCAGAGGTCCTGAGTTCAATTCCCAGCACCCACATGGTGGCTCACAACTATCTGTAATGAGATCTGTTGCCCTCTTCTGGCCTACAGACACACATGCAGGTAGAACGCTGTATACATAATAAATAAATCTTAAAAAAAATTTCTATTAAAAAAAAAAAGTAAATGAGATACAGGTTAGTAGTAAAGAGTGACTTTAGGTCAAAAGACATGGAACTGAGTGATGATGAAAAGCAAAACCCTCATGAGGTAAAATGCACAAATAAGAAATGAAGAGTGCTTATGGAGTGGATTGCTGGCGCAGCTGCTCAGTTAACAGGTCAAGTTCTCAGATCCTTCTGTTCTTAGCAGGCTCCACCTGGAGCTGTGTAGGGAAGGGGTGAGTGGGAGCAGTGGTCTGTGCAGCTCCTGTGTTGGGTGGGTTCTGGTTTGTGAGGAGGGGAGGTTGCATGGGCCCTTGTGACTAATTCCCTCAGACTCCTGAACTCCACCGTGGCCTGTTCTGGTCCTGAAGGTCCAGAGTACGTGGAAGTTCCCCTTCCCCTCGTCCTTACCTGTTGTTTGTTTACTCTCTTTACTCTTCCTTTCTCATTCCTAGATCTTCCTCTCCTCCCAGATTTCTCCTTCTATTCTCTCTGCCTGCCAGCCATGCCTATCCTTTCTCCTGCCTTGCTATTGACTGTTCAGTTCTTTATCAGACTATTGGGTGTTTTAGACAAAGTAACACAGCTTCACAGAGTTAAACAAATACAACATAAACAAAAGTAACACACCTTAAAACAATATTCCCCAACATTTCCCCCTTTTTGTCTAAATAAAAATAAAGGTTGTTTTTTTTTTTTTTTTTTTTTTTTGGTTTTTCGAGACAGGGTTTCTCTGTGTAGCTTTGCGCCTTTCCTGGAACTCACTTGGTAGCCCAGGCTGGCCTCGAACTCACAGAGATCCGCCTGCCTCTGCCTCCCGAGTGCTGGGATTAAAGGCGTGCGCCACCACCGCCCGGCATAAAAATAAAGGTTTTAATTTTAACATAGTAGCTAACTACATACAACAAAAACAATTATCAAGTAGGAATTACATTTACAATATTCTGTCCATTTTCAGTTAGCATATTCAAAAAAAATAATGCATTATTTATCCTATTTTAGTGAATCCAAAGTTTCACACCTAACTTACTATCATAATTAAGAAAAACTGCAACTATAACTATCTAGTCTTCAACTCCCTCAAAGACCCAGAAGGATGTAATATTATCTAGCAACAGAGACATTTGGCTGCCTATGTCACCTAAAGTTCTTCTGCAACGTTGGGGCATCCTTCTTCAGCCTATAGGCCTAGAGTATCTGGCAGACTTTTTAATGAAGCAGGAAATTTGAAGGACTATCCTGACTTTTATTGGCAAAATTCATCGGTCACTTTCCTCTGTGTCCTACAGAATATCTGGCAGACTCTTCTGTGAATCAGTAATTTTGAAGGACTGTTCTGCCTTGTTTTGGCAAAGCTCAACAGTCTTTTTTTCCCTATGTGTCCTGCACATCCAGTCTGGACAGCACATAGTCAAGCAGTCAAAGGCAAGAATAGCCGGGCAGTGGTGGCGCACGCCTTTAATCCCAGCACTCGGGAGGCAGAGGCAGGTGGATCTCTGTGAGTTCGAGGCCAGTCTGGGCTACAGCGCCAGCTCCAGGAAAGGCACCAAAACTACACAGAGAAACCCTGTCTCGGAAAAAAAAAAAAAAAAGAAGAAAACAAACAAACAAAAAAAGGCAAGAATAGTTTCTTTGCCCAGTGGCTAACCTTGCCAGAATGAAAGCAAACTCTATAAGGAGTTTCTTCAATGTCCATTGTCTTCTCTGAAGTAGATTGGTGCTGCCAGGAACAGATGTATTTCATTGTTATAAAAAAACCTTTAAATTAACAAAACATTTTTTTTTTTTTTTTTTTTTTGGTTTTTCGAGACAGGGTTTCTCTGTGTAGCTTTGCGCCTTTTCCTGGAACTCACTTGGTAGCCCAGGCTGGCCTCGAACTCACAGAGATCCGCCTGGCTCTGCCTCCCGAGTGCTGGGATT